CCTTCCTTCCCAGCACTGTGGCCAAGGCAGAAGCCTGCTCTGCAGCCCTCCTCAGAGCCAGCACCCAGCAGCAGCTCAGCTCCCCACAGGATCTACGAGTGACATGTGCCTGTTGGATGGATCTGGGTTACAAGCAGCAGGACTCATATTTTGCACCATTAGAAATGTGCCCAAACACAACCACCTTTTTTCAATGTTACTCATCAAACACTCAAAATAAGGCAGAAAAGAAAAGCAATCGGGAATTCTGCAATCCTGGAACCTTGGCAGGAAGTGCTTTAAACAAAACTTTGTTCTCTCGTTTCTGTAACCAGAAATGGAAAGGAAAAATCGCAGATCCTGTTAAAGCCCCTTCCCTCAGCAGCTCTCTGTTGTGTAACCTGAAGAGAAGGGTGAGCAGCACTAATGGCAGAAGTGATCTGAGCCTCCACTGCAACCTGCTTAGCACAGCAGCCCCTGATTCACAAGTCTTTGAGCAATTTTACCTGTCATGTTCTGAGGAAGCATCGTCTAATAGATACCGCTAAAGGGCTGCGTGCCAGAGCATCCTGTCTGCCAGCAGACTGCTGGGAAGAGCTGGGAAAATGGGAGAAACCAATAGATCGACGGAAAAGCAGCTCTCACAAAGCACTGGTGTTCTGAGACGCTGGAGAAAAGAGACACACACACAAGAATTACTGCCTTCTGGTCAGTTTTATTGGTCTGTTGTCCTTTTAATACAGATTGATACGTCAACAAGTCTCAGTGCCTCGGGTTAACAGGAGCAGAAAGGAAGTCCACACGTATTTCTATTGCTCACATGGCTTAAAGCTTAAGGATGAAACAAGGCTGTGAAAGAAAAAGCAAATTGCCTCCAAAGCACAGAGGCAAAGCCAGTTGCTAGAAACGCCAGGCTATGGTCTGAGATCCTAGACCCAGAACAGAAGCATCTCTCCCCACTTGTGCTCCACTGACATAGAAAGCACACAGAGAAAACAGTCCTTGTTTACCACGGCCTCTGGCTCCAACAACAAAAAATGCAGATCTCCTGATATCACTGGTAATTGTTTCACTCCAAACAGATGCTGCAGCCTGAATGAGATCATTCTGCATCTCGCACTGATGTAGGCTGCATTCCCCACTTGCTACTTTTGAAACTGAAGAAGAATCGTGCTTTGCTAAAAATACTCCCCAGGCTGAATGGATTGCTTTGTGGTGGGACCTCAGTGTCTTCTCAGGGCCTCTCCACGCTGGACGCAGAAGACAGGGAAGAGTCACACCAAGGATCTCGGGAAGAAGCTTGTCTTCCACTGCCGGCGCGTAGCACTGGCTCGCAAGGAGGGAAGTGTTTGGGGGAGCTCCCTCCTGTGAGCTAGTCAATTGTTCTTTCCTCTTTTATAACACTTGTCAGGACCCCCAACTCTTCCAGTGCTCTGGCCCCTGTCACCCAGAGGAGCTGCTGCCCAGCCAAGCAGCCGCTGCACGTCCCAGCGCTCCCCAGAGGACGCAGCGGAGGAGCTCGCTGCTGCCTGGTGGGAGAAGGAACCATCACAAGGCTCCTTCTGTTCCCCGGGCCCTGCTGCGAGCTCAGCCCCTGCTCCAGCACAGAGGAGCTGTGAGCTGCAGCCATCCCGCGCACCACTGACACAATCCCACGTCTGCCTCACAACTTGGGCCTCCTCCTCCGAGCTTCCACACGCGGCCCCCGCTCCAGCGCTGCTGCCGGCTTCTGCCCCTCCTGAAAAAACACGCAGCCAATGCCCCCGGCTGCTGGCATCAGGAACTGGGGGGAGCTGCACTAACAGACCTCCCGGGTCTAGATGTGCTGGCCCAGAGCCTGCGTGCACAGGCCCATGCCCAGAGTGATGCCCCCCAGCACAGGAACCCAGCAGTGAGGCAGGCGGCAGGCTTGCTCTCTCCCGACCCTCACTCCTACTTCATTTCCTACTTCCAGCCAATGCCCCCGGCTGCTGGCATCAGGAACTGGGGGGAGCTGCACTAACAGACCTCCCGGGTCTAGATGTGCTGGCCCAGAGCCTGCGTGCACAGGCCCATGCCCAGAGTGATGCCCCCCAGCACAGGAACCCAGCAGTGAGGCAGGCGGCAGGCTTGCTCTCTCCCGACCCTCACTCCTACTTCATTTCCTACTTCCATTATGAAACAGTGACAAACCCCCCTAAAATAGCTAGGATTTAAGGAAGGCTTCCAAATCCTGTCATGGCCAAGCAATCTTTTTGGGGGATGCTCTGACAAAAGGCACACACCTGCCTTTCCCAAGCGATTCTCTCAGAGACTTTAATAGGATATGATGCTTTTATCCAGCATTTTGGGGGCTGGAATCCAGTCCAGATTCTCAGCTGTCAGATGTTCCTCAGCTGCTGGGGGTAAAATAAGTTTGATGATCTCAATAGAGTTTAGCACAGGCAGATGTCTAAAGCTTAAAATTAGCTGTCAGATTTGCCACTGGACACACGATCCTCCCCCCTCCCCCCCCCTTCTTTCAGGACTCAGAAGAGAGGCCAAACACTACATGGGCCACAGTGATACATACAGCACGTTCCTCCCTCTGTGCTTCAGAGCCCGTTCCTCTGGGTTAAGCTTTACACAATGAGTGAGGATTCGGAGCAAAGGGAATATACATCTCTGTGTCTATATATAATCTCCCATCAGTAGCGTTTGTGTTTTCTGTCTCTGGTGCAGAAACCAACACAAAGTCATATGCAACACCCACTGCGATCACCCTCTGCAGCACAGTAGCAGGATGCTGACCCTAGTGCAGCAGAGACCGAGCTGCTGCACAGCACACATTGCTCTGCACACCAGCACCCCCCACTGCACAAGGAGTGGGTTTACTACTGGCTGCAACACAGGAACGAAAACGGCGACGTCTACTCGCAGCGAGGGAAACCTTCAGTCTGTCCCTGCCAGTATCTGCATGGGTAGTCTCAAAACCCCACCCTGGCCTCTACATACACCCCACAACACTCCCAATACCAGAGGGCAAACTCAAACACGGAAGAGCAAAAGCCACAAGAACCAAACCATGCCACAAGAAATGAACCAAACCTCTGCCTGCAGCTGAGAGAACAGCCAGAGGAGCCCCCCGCTTTAACTGCACAGTTACACAACACACCTCACACCCAGAGCTCAGGATGAACCTAATTCACAGCAACAGCCTCATCATTTCTAGCAGGGTCACTCCAGAGCATTCGTGAAACCCCACGGAAGGGTCTAGAATCAGCTGGAGATTGCTGTTTTCCACAGGGGCCTAAATTAAGGAAGCCAGTCAGCTGTAAGAACTGCACGGTAAAACGACTGCATCCACCACACGATTCACCCTAGAGCAGCGTGTCTCACGGTAAACAAAAAGGCTGGAATTGTAGGTACTGACTGTCTTTTCATACTGTATTAAAGCAACCACCTAATTCAGAGCATTCAAACACTCTGCAAATTCATGGGCAAGCAAACAACGACATGAGCAGCTTCTGCTCCTCGTATTATCCTAAGATCACAAAAGTAATTACATATTAGTAAAATAGGCTGGATTTACAGCCTGGGAAACACAAGGTCCTGTTGACAAGCGGCACAGGAATAGTGGAACCTTCTCCAGGCTACCCCAT